ATGAGTTGTTCCCAAGAAATGTCGAAACCTGGACTTTGCGAGGAAAAATGGGGCGCGATAGGAGTCATCGAATTTTTATTAGATACCGAGGTCTTTTCAGGTACCGGAGGAAACTGATGAGATCAAATTAACCGGCTGCAAGAGAGATGAATGCAATGACCTTGTCCAGTAGTAAGGGAAAATAAATAAGCAAACAACAATTACAGGAGTTGGTGCCCTCTTCCACCCCGATGGAAGATAATGTAGAAGAGGAGTCATCAGATTTTTATTAGGTACCGAGGTCTTTTCAAGTACCAAAGGAAACATATGCTATCAAATCAACCGCTAAAGAGCACAAATATGTGGACTTGTTCATGGAGTTCTTAGAAAGAATTAGGAACATGGTTGAGTCCCGAACTCAGATTAGAAATTATAGATTTTCTAAAAGCTAACGTCGATTATTTTGCATGGTCACATTCAGATATGACAGGTACCCTATTAGAGTTAGCTGTCCATAAGTTAAGTTTGGATCATAACTTCCCTCTGATAAGGCAGAAAAAAATGACTGATAGCAGAGTTCAGAAACAAGTTGTCAAAGAAGAGGTAACCTAGTTATTAAATATAGATTCAATTCAAGAGGTAAATTACTCCAATTGGTTAGCTAACGTAGTGATAGTACCACAGAAAAAAAAATTTAGAATGTGTGTACTTTATAAAGATTTGAATAAGGCATGCCCTGAGGACTCTTTCCCGTTGTCGGACATGAGTTAATGAGCTTTTTTATGCATATTCCGGGTATAATCAAATTAGGATTCACCCGAAAGATCAAGAAAAAACCTTGTTTATTACAAATTTTGGTACATACTGCTATAATGTGATGCCCGCCGGGCTTAAAAATATTGGAGCCACTTATTATAGGCTTGTTAATAAAATGTTTGAACAACAAATTGGTATCTTTTTGCTCGTTAATCCCATAAGTGATTGATTTCTTATGGGATCATATCATCTGTCGATATGTAGTACCAAGAGAAATTGCTTGTGACAATGGGCCACAATTTATAGGTTTCGAAGTCACAAAGTTTTAGATCAAACGAATTACATCTATATATCATCTAAGTGCTAATGGACAAGCAGAGTTGACCAGCAAGATAATAATTTAATATCTCAAAAAAAGTTAGAAGATGCTAAAGGAAATTGACCATGAGCTACCAGGTGTGTTATGGGCATATCAAATAAGGACGAAATCAAGCACCGGTAAAACTCCATTTTTACTTGTATACGGTGCAGAAACTTTGATCCTAGTGGAAATTAGAGAACCTACCATGGCATATGTGAGAATGGTGGTACAAAAGCAAAAAATAGAAATATTTACAACCGCAAAATAAATCTTTGATATTTCAAAGTCGGAGACTTGGTTTGAGGAAAGTTACTTAAAATACTCAAGAAGTTAATGCCGTGAAGCTGGAACCATCATGGACGGACCTTATCGGATTTCAGCTATAATTGATAAAGGTTCATAACAATTGGAGAATAAAGATGTTCCCTCATCAACAAAGACCACTGCGGTTGGTTTGGTTGGAGTTTCTTTTGTTGAAGACTTTCTCGAGTCCTAGTTGTAGAGGTACGTCTTCTCTTTGGTATTTTGTCTTTGGGCTAGGGACTTCGGGAGGAGACCCCTTCCCCGGAAGTAAGAGGGATTTCACGTGCCCTCTTTCAGTTGAGGAGATCTTGTAATTGTTATTGGGCTTCCTCTGGGTCATCGAAAACCTCAACAACAGAGCAAACTACAGATCCCTTTGGAAGACATATGTGTTGCAAAAAGAGAGTCATTAAATGAATTCTGAGTTATGCTAGAAACTGAAAGAATGAAGGGAGAGCCTTTACTTACCATGGTTTTTGGCTTTCCAATTAACTTTGGGAGCCATATCTTTCCACCTTCGAGAGTCCGGTGTAGAAAAATGTCTAGAATTTTTTGTACTCATTGGACCAGGTTCCTAACCGGTGGTGGTTCCCATTAAGTAGCTGAAATAAGGAAAATAAAAAGCCAACAAAGTAGGAAAGTCTTTTTAAAAATCGTAAGAAAAAGATATTCGAAGATTTACGAAAAAGATTCCAAGCTTTAAGAATAAGAGGAGATGTTGTTGGGAGAATGCCCTGGTAGTAATAACAACAAGCTGTTCCATCTAATCCATGGTCGTTATTGTCATCAACACTGGTAAAGATGACATGGTGGCCTCATTTGCTGAGCTTTAGCACACCTCCACAAAAGATCTTTGGGGAGTAGAGGTTGATCAGATGTGCGAGAGTTGAGGTTTTTCCGGTCTCAGAGCACAACTTTCGAAGGCAAGCCATTGTACGCCATACTAGTGGTCCTGCTTGAACCAAGCATATTTAATAACGACGGCAGAATTCTAAACTTATGGGGTCAATTTCTTGACCCAATATCAAAGTAAAAAGGTATTTATAAATATATATGAAACATGATTTGGTGAAAGTGACCCTTTTCACTTTATTGGGGGG